TGTCAAATTCTTCGGAATCAGCATCAGTCTCTGAACATCGATATCATCCTGTCGATCAAATTATTGGGAATATTCATGATGGTGTCCGAACCAAATCTCGTGTTTCTAATAACTTTTGCATGTATGTTAATTTCGTTTCAATGATCTTACCTGACAAGATACACACAGCTCTTAAGATGCAACTGGATTAAAGCCATGCAAGAAGAACTGAATGAGTTTGAAAGGCACAAAGTTTGACTCTTGTCCCAAGACCATCAGGAAAGACTATCACCGGAACTCGTTGGGTCTATCGCAACAAGGTTGATAAAGATGGAATCATTACTCGCAACAAGGCAAGGCTTGTCGCTCAAGGGTTTACTCAAATTGAATCCATCGACTACGGAGAAACCTTTGCTCCAGTTGCTCGCATTGAAGCGATCAGACTGTTTCTCACATACGCATCCTACATGAATTTCATTGTCTATCAGATGGATGTGAAAACAGCCTATCTTCATGGTGTGTTAGAAGAAGAAGTTTTCCTCAATCAGCCCCCAGGCTTTGTTGACAAAGATCACCCTGATTATGTGTACCGATTAGACAAAGCTGTTTATGGACTGAAGCAAGCACCCAGGGCTTGGTATGAGACGCTGACATCGTATCTTCTTGAAAATGGATACAGACGAGGAGCAATCGACAATACTCTCTTCATCAAAAACAAAGGCTCAGACATGGTTCTTGTTCAAATCTATGTCGATGACATCATTTTTGGCTTTCCAAATGAGACACTGAGCAAGGAATTTGCAGAGATCATGTCTCAAAGGTTCGAATGAGCATGATGGGAAAGATGACCTTTTTCTTAGGTCTTGAAGTTCAACAAAAAAAGTCAGGTATTTCTATTTGTCAAAGTAAATATATTTCTGACTTGCTTGTTAAGTATTCTCTCAGTGACTGCAAATCAGCCTCTACTCCAGTTTCCAAGACTGACAAGATTCACTCTGATCCAACTAGAACTGATGTCAATCACTCTCTGTATCGAGGAATGATTGGATCTCTTTTATATCTCACGGCAAGTCATCCTGACATCATGTTTGGAACCATTCTCTGTGCTCGATTCCAAGCTAATCCCAAGGAATCCCATCTCATGGCCGTCAAACGTATCTTTCGATACTTAAAAGGAACTCAAAATCTAGCACTGTGGTATCCTCGCGACTCAGCATTCGAACTCTTTGGATACACTGATTCCGACTATGCAGGATGCAACTTAAACAAAAAAAAGTACGTCTGGTGGATGTCACTTCCTTGGAAATCGTCTCATCAGCTGGTCTAGCAAGAAGCAAACATTAGTAGCCATCTCGACTGCAGAGTATGTTGCAGCTGGGAGATGTTGTGCTCAGCTCTTATGGATTCAAAATCAGCTTTTCGACTATGGGATCAAGTTCTCAAAGACTCCCATATATTGTGATAACACCAGTGCCATTCAAATCACACAAAACCCTGTTCAGCACTAAAAAACAAAGCATATCGAAATCAGACATCATTTCATCAGAAATAACGTTGAGAAAGGAAAGATTGTTCTTGAACATGTCATGAATTCAGAACAACTTGCTGATATCTTCACTAAGGCACTGGATTCTCAAACAACTGCTTACATTATTGGAGAACTTGGAATGATCACCTTGTAATTAATTTTGCTGATTAATTTTGCTAATGTTTGGTATTGTCTTATAAGCTGATGTCCATTTTGCTGATGATGACATGCTGATGATATTTGCATACTAAGTACTTGGTTTGATCTCCTATCTTTCTCTCTTCTTCAACTCTTCTTAACTAAAGTTGAATGATTCACTGTATTAAACCATACACTGATAACCACTTGAAACTCTTTGCCGATGGTTAGATCGAAACACCAAGATCTATCACACGCAACTATCTCTTCTTACCAATCTTACACTGATTCCATGATTCAGTGTGTCAAAACACACACTGATGAGAATCTAAAAATCTTTTCCGATGGTTAGATCAAAACACCAAGATCTATCACACGCAACTATCTCTTCTTACCAATCTTACACTGATTCCGTGATTCAGTGTGACAAAACACACACTGATGAGAATCTAAAAATCTTTGCCGATGGTTAGACCAAAACACCAAGGTTTATCACTCGCAACTATCCTTCCTTTACCTTCTTCTCATTCAGTGTCTAATGATTCAGTAAGATAAACCTCTCACTGATAAAGACACAACACTCTGTGCTGATGTTTAGATAATGCAACTAGTATCTATCACACGCACCAATCTCCTTGCTAGCCCCAACCGAGCAAGTTGTACCTTGAATTGACGCAGAGATATCCTCAGCATGTAACTTTTGTGACACTGATTGACGTTTCATCTTCAGTCAACGACTCTTTTACTCAACGGCTATTTTTTGATCTGATAGGTTGTTACGATACGCCGTTATTTTTGAAGAAGATAATCATTACCTTTTCTAAAAGATCCGTTTCATTCCATATTTAAACCTCTTTCGCCCTTATTTCAAACTTTCCTTCCACAATCTACACTTCCTTCACTTATATTCAAAACCCTAGCACCCTAAAAAAAAACTCTCTAATGGCGGCATCGATGTTCACTTTCTCCTCTACTTCATGAAGGGTAGTTCCTGCCCCAAACTCTCCTCCTCTTCCTATATACATCAAAGCCACCAACGTTGTTTTCAACCCTGATATTCCCGATGTTCATCAAGGTCTTGGACTCGATGATTTTGTTAATTTCTTAGCCTCCTGCCGCCTACGATACGCTATCAGTGACATTCCATCAGAGTTCTTCCCTGAACAAGTCTGTGAGTTCTACTACACCGCAACAGTCAATGATGAAAACAATGTCATCACCGGGACCATTGGCCGTGGAAGACACTCTGTCTTTGTTATAGCAGAACTTCTCAGTGATGCACTCAGGTTACCTATCTTTGAACCATTCTTTGATCTTCCTTCTATTGAACGCTGTCGACGTCTATTCAATCAACTGGGATATGATCACTCAAAGGCTGGTGCTCGATTAGCTCTTGTTCTGTGCAAATGTATGACCCCAGGATGGAAGTTCTTCACCGGTGCTTTGTGCAAATGTGTGGGTCATAAGTCTCGAAGTGGTGATCAACTGAGCACCTATGAGCAACAAATCGTCTGCTCACTGCTTCTCAACAAAAGACTTGACTATGGGGCCTTTTTCTTTGATCAACTTGTTCAGCTTCTTCATGCAAATGTACGCGCTGATCACGTTCCCTTCCCACGCTGGATTGCTCTCGTGCTCGATAAATTCTTTGCTGCAGATTACTTCTCGCACTCTGGAAATCCTATTCAATGCCCTCACATGTCAATTTGAATGTATCAAGATGATCCGCTGGATACTAACATCGGAATATCTGATAGGATGAGGGAATGGATTGCAAACCCATACACTGTTCCTTCACTCACCGCTGATACTGATGAAGGAGGAGCTGATGGTAACAATGAAGATCCTGCTGGTCAAGAGGATGAAGCATATGATGGTGGTCATTTCTCCCCTCAACTTTCTCATCATATCGTCTCTGTTACTGAGAAAGTTCACTCAGCTCAAAAGGATTCCCTGATTCCGGGGGAGCAACAATTTCAAGGGGAGCAACAATCTCAGGGGGAGCATCCCTCACAGGGGGAGAATCCACCCCAAGGAGACCACTCTTCTCTGGGGATGCCACCACACTCACACGCAGCTCCAGGTGCTTCATTCGTTCAAATTACGGCCTCAACATTTAATGAACTTCTGACACTGACTCGGGACATGAGTCAGCATCTTCTACGCATTGAGGCTGATGTTCATCAGCTTAAGGAAGTTCTCTTGCATACTTCTTCCTCCAGCCCTCAATCTGATGATGCTCAAAAAGGGGGAAATACTGATACTGATGATGATGATGATGCTGAAGATAATGTTGATCATGATAATGATGATGAAAATCCAAAAGAGAAAGACACCGAACCTGCTGACAACTCCTTAGTTCAGATTGAGCCACCAAAGCAGATGCTCGAGTCTGACTTTGTGAAGCCTAATAGTCCTACAGATACTGAAAAACGTGTTGAAGACAGTGAGCATGATGATGAACAAGATGATGAATGTTAAATACTGGATATGAACTTCATTGATCCCTTTATTCTAGTTCAAGAAGAAGATTCAGATGATCTTGATAATGAACTGCAAAGGACAGACATAAAAGTCGTTGATCCCACTGTTGATCCCATTATTCCGGTCCAAGGAGAAGATTCAGACGTTGCTAGTGAAGATTCTCATCCGTTATCTCGCAAGTGAAAGGTAGCAGATACTGACTTGGCTTATTCACACACTGATACTTCTTTGTCCTGCAAGAAGCCCAAGTCCATAGTCAGTATATCAAATTTGGCGGCTGAATGGAATATGTCTTCTGATCAAGTTAAGCAAATTCATGATGAAGCTAATCAAGATCAGCTTCTAAAGAACATTGCTCAAGCTGATGAATCTCTCATTCAGCATAAACTTCAGGGCAAAGGATCTTTTGAAGCTCAGATGCAGAAATTCTTGGAATTTCAGTCCAAATCTCAATCTTCTCGGCCTCCTCCTAGCAGCAGTAAGCCGAAGACTGGCAGTGCTCTAGACAGGATTGATCGAAAGAGATTTGAAGATGTTCTTAAACGACGAGTGTGTGGTGATAAGATCATTAAAGTTAAAGCTTCCAAACCACGCAATGAGAAAATTCTTAAGTTACTGATCACTCGTCAAGGTCCACAACATTCATACACTGAAGTTGTCAAGAGGGATGAGCTGATCAAATATGGATATTATAGATGGATGGAATTGCTCGAATTAGCGTCCAAGCAAACCTCAGCTCACTCCTCTGAACTGACATGTGCTCTTCATCTGCTGATCAAGAAAGTTCAGCGTTTGGACCTTGTTCCTAAAGAACGACCTCAGCATCAAGGCCAAAGGTCACCTGTTCCTAGAACTCGAAGAACAAAATTTCAAGTTGATTGTGAAGATATGTTGGTTCTAGACTTTGGTGCTGGTGGGATAAACAATTCTCTTCCTATCAGTGTTGACCCAGTTCAATATAAGTTTATCTCAGTTCCTGAACATGGGATGTTCTATCTCGATAAAAACAGAAAGATGTGTTTTCAGCGAACTGCTGAGATCCCAAAGGCTCCAACCACTCATCTCGTGGGCTTAAGGCAAATGTGCATGAGTCATCAAGATCTCTTCGGAGAGTTTCATATCCTTATCGCCATGGAGTTGCTGAATAGAAGATAGGAGTTACTGGATAGTCCTTACTGGCCAGTAAAAATAGAAGCTGAAGCTGAATATGAAGAGTTCTTGTCCAGAGGTGTTTTAATTTAGTTGGTTTTGAACATCATCATATTGGGGGAGATTGTAAGGTCAAACCTTGAAATATGATGATGTTTCAAATAGATCTCAGTGTCAGCATCAACATGTCAGCAGCTCAGCTTGTTTAGTTTAGTTAGTGCATTGTAACAGATTTTATACTTATCGTGTTTCCATAGTTAGCTTAAATTTGTTAGCTGCCATATCCCTGGTTTGTAGGGATTGTCTAGTATAGTAGTATATAATCTTTTGTATCGGTTTGTGAAACACTACGCCTTTCACAAACCCTAATCGCTGCTTTGTGCACACGATAATCTCTTTGTGAGATTATCTTTCTTAGTGAAAGTTTTTCTTCGTGAATTCTTCTTATTCTTATTTACTGTTATTGTTTGATAAATTGATTGATCTAAAGGCCTTTTCAATGTGGTGGTTCAAAGGAACCCAACTGAGTGATAGCAATGATTTAGTCAAGTCCAAAGGAGTGATTCGACATATTGAGATATAGCCACAATCTGGAAACCATGGGACTCGACGAATGTTAGACCACACTCGGCGAGTCCAAGGCAATCTCCTTACCCACAAGAACAGACTCGATGAGTTGTTCATACAACTCGGTGAGTCATAGTTTGGACGTGTTCATATGATGAAGGAGGACTCGACGAGTTGTTCATACAACTCGGCGAGTCAGATGAAGGTTGACTAGATGTCTTTATAGAAGGGGAACTCGTCAAGTCTTAGCTATACTCGACGAGTAGATTCAGATAGAAGGATAAAATAAAGGATAGGGACTCGATGAGTTGGCGGCCCAACTCAGCGAGTCCGGTAAACTGGAAGTTGCCTTTGACCAAGATATTGACTTTGAGTAGGGGTAAAATAGTCACTTTACCCTAAGATTTGTTATCAGTTCTGACTAAGTGTCTTTATGGAAATTATAGCTTGGGAGTTGCTAGAGCAGTAACCAGACTTTTACCGCTCAGTTTTTCAATATTCAGTTTCACCAGGTGAGTTTCCTTCAGTAAGAACGGGTTTAAGGCACCAAGGCCGGTTCGTAGTATGTTATGATTAGTAGATGATAGTGGGTGGGGCCCATATCTCCCATTAGCGGAATTTGATTATGATATACATCTGAATGATAGATCTAGTTATACTTGCTATCTGTGTGATGCTTGTATGTTTTCCTAGTAGCTAAGTGTGGGCAGGACCCGTATCTTATAGCAGCCAAGTGTCACACCCCAAAACCGGAACGATGGAAATGTTCGGGGGTGGAGGACGTCATGTTTAGTATCACAAGACATGCATCATAGTAATCAAAGTAATAAACAACCATTTTATTAGAAAGAAAGTGTTTACAAAGTATGTGGTTCACATAACATAGACAAAAAGTAAATAACAAAACAAGTCATTTAGCTATATTGCTCCATCTTCTGAATTCCCAGCGCGAGTACCTGTCTACTGGTTTCATGAGAATACAAGTTATTTTGAAAGAGTTGATCAACATTTAAGCTAGTGAGTTCAAGTGACATCCCCAATTTCACAGCCAGAAAAGACTGATTTATCAAATCATTTCTTTAAAGAAATGTATTTTCATTATATAACAAAATCTCGGATGTCATGTTCCGATACAGACACATAAGCATAAACAAAACTTACATCATTTACACTAAAGATTTTACATTTCCTTTAATCTCTTCATGAAATATATCTTCATATCGATACCTGTGATACAAAGAAAACTAAGTGGGTTAGGCTTGGGAGCCCGGTGAGCATATAGGGTTTTCAACCCACAATAATACAATTATTATATTCAATCATCAAACAATCAACCCAATTACCCATCCTTATTGTCTTCTTTATTTCTTAAGGTTTTACCCTAAGGATCAACTATCCTTCTTTCATTCATTCCTAAGGATTGACCTAAGGAATTGGCACAAAATCCATCGTTGCATAAGACGCATCTGCCAACATTATCCTTTAAGCGCCTCTGCTAGGATTACGACATTCACTATTAGACGTCACAACCTAAATTACTACATACAATATTCGGCGCCACTGCCTAGATTACGACATACTTTACCAGGCGCCACTGCCTAATTGCGACATACACTATTAGGCGCATCTGTCGACATTATTCTTAAGCGCATCTGCTAGTATTATGACATTCACTATTTGGTGCATCTGCCAATATTATTCTTAATCATCTTCCGTACCTCATCATTTATCTACCCATGTTTTCCCCAACATATTCATAGATATAAAATACATATATACAATTTAGCTTATTTAAAACTTGTACCAAACATTGCATTCAACACCCATCTCAAATAAACAAACAACTTATCAACACATATCACGTATTTTATAGCTAATACTTTGTATTCAACATTCATCTCAGATAAACAAACAATTTATTAACACATAGTATGTGTTTCATAGCAAATACCTCATATTTATGTGTTAGAAGAAAGTGACTACACACTTACCCGAAACATATACTCAATACGTTCAAAAAATATTTATTAAAATCGTGTTTATGAAAGGGACTATACACTCACTTGATAAGACGATTTCCGGACAGCACTACGGCTCGTAAAAGTAGTATTATTCGGTAGATCTGGAAGATCTTCACAAAAACTGGCTTCTCGCAGGCAGAGCTTCGTCTTGGGAATTTCACTTCTCGAGATCTTTAGGCTTCAGGACTCGCTTCGGGTCTCGGGATGATGTCGGGGATTCGAGGAGTTAAAATAGGGCTTAGAGAGAGTATTGGGAGAGGGAGAGTAAGAGATGAGCAACCAATCTTGGCTGCCCCTTGAATTCTATTTATAAGGTGAATTTTCTGGGTTCACCTCGTGAGCCGCATATGCTCACCTCGTGAGCTACATATGCTCACCTCATGAGCTTGATACGTCATTGCGTTCGTCATGTTCACTTTTCCTGGGATACGTCCGTCATCTGTTCACCTCGTGAGCCACTAATGCTCACCTCATGAGCTCTGACACAAC